TTTTAATTTGGGTCTGAGCAAAAAAAAAAACAAAATGAACAAAAGTAAATGAAGTTTTGGGTCTGAAGCTCCCAGAGAAATGGCGAAACTTTGTAATAAATCCAGATTTATCTTGATTTATCACAAAGTCGCGTTATCCCTGATGTTTATTTTAATGATCATTATTGAATTATTATCATTATTTATTTAGATTAGTTTTTAGTTTAATAATTATTACTATAATTATTAAACATTAATTATTTTCAACATATTCTCTCAAGTTCCTTGCACAATCTTCTTCACCTTGCAAACACCCACCACCTTTGACTATTTTTTCTCAACGAGCGTCATTACGAAACAAAGCAAATTTCCCTAACGATCTCTAATTATATGATTTTATCAAATCCCGACATCATCAACATCAATCATCAGACATCAATCATTCACAGACCTTAAGATTGATCGTCTGCTGTCATTTGTTAGCTCGTTGCACTTGTACCAACACGCCTGAGGCTCGTAAAATGAAGGGCGCTCTGCAGGGACGGAGCTGAGCACGTCAAACCTTTTGATTTACTTTTACCAGCAATTCTACAATGGAAAAAATTTACTAGTTTGTAGTAGTAAATTTAGTAAATGAATTCAATTTAAATAAAAAATCTTACATTAATTGTAAGTCGTTTTTTTAGCTGTAAATTCAGCAAATGGATACAATTTAGTAAAAAATAAAAATCGTGACATTAATTGTATGTCGTTTTTTTGTCGTAAATTTAGTAAATGGATACAATTTGATGAAATATAAAAAGCCAGACATTAATTGTAGGTCGTATTTTCGGTCGCCACAGACGCTTACCAGTCAATCGCCAATGTGGGCAACGGTGTTGATTAGTGTGGGTTACTGCATAATGCGGAAGATCCGACCACTCGAAGATTTGGAAGTCGAATTTCCCTAAACAATCTATGCAGATGCATGGCGAACTATCGACTGCGGGTTTATCGTTGCCTCTCGAAGTATCTGAGTGTGGGCAAATTTATAGAGCAACCCGAAAAATTAATGCGCTAACATGTCAGTTGGCTATTCAATCTAACAGAATAATGAATCGAAAATTGATATGCACTTTAATTTATGATTACCCACTTAAAAGTGTATTCAATCTAGTTCAAGTGATAGAATGCGTTATTTCGGGTCCAATTCTGATGTCAGTTACGATGTTTATACCACGTAATTATTTTAATACTTTGAAAAACGTAAGTGTTTTACTAGCTATCCCAGCTTGACCGCTTCCGCAAAGAGGAACGTTTAAGCCTTAATTACCTCACCTTAATAATGTTCAGGAGATATTGATTAGTTTATCTGCATTTTTTTTCTAACGTGAGTGTAAAGAAAACGTTTTTGCATGCATCTTATTAAATGATTTAAATCTCCTACTATAGACTAAAATACGTATGAAGAAACTGATTCAAAGCTTAGCAATATTTTTATTTAAAAAGATCCCATCATAAACTTCTTCATAGTTCATATTCAAAACATTTTCATGAAGCTGCTTTAGCGTGTTTCATTATTCATGACAAATTTACCTAAATTTTTTAACGAGGCTGATTTGAAGCAATAAAAACAATGAGAAATAAATTTCGATGTAAATTGATCAGCTCCATTATAAAATTTATATAAACTAGAGAACTAATTTGTAAATAAATTGAGGAAATATGGAAGTAACGGCATTTCGCTTGCCCAAAAATCATAAAAAGTGGCAAGAAAAATAGTGCTTGTCTCCTTTAAAATACGAGAAATGTTCTTTTTTCAATTGAATAGAAACTGCGTTCACTCTTCTAAAAAAATATGAATAAATAACCTTTAACACGTTGACTACGAAGTGGTACATATACGTACCACGAAATGTATTTCTCCAGGACGTAGCGGTACATAATTCAGGTTGCCATGAAATCGGCCAAATCCGAAAACAAAAAAGGCCCATAACTCAATATATTCTAGTTTATTCGTAGGTTCCGCCATAAAAATTCCATTTATTTTCTTTTTGCAGAATTTAAAATTTAATTAGGAAGTACCTCTATCATAAATTTTAGCCGGCCAACGCAATTGAGAAAAACTAAATCACGGAATTTGTCCGGAGAAAATGACCGTCTGGCAACCCTGTTTAAAAACAGTACAAAAAATTAAATAATAGTACAAGATGAAGCAATCGTAGTCAACGTGTTAAACAGTTCCACCACAAACATGGTTATTCCTCGATTTGTCTGACGAATGCAAGCCATTCGTTTTGCAGTTACAGTATGTAGTTCTCAGTATGGTAAGGTGTCTTGCTGGGCCAGCAGGCTGAGGCGTGAACTTGGACGCGAAATCCCCGCGTTCGAATCTCGGAGCTGCCGTCGACGTTTATATAATCCGGTAAGAGCATTTAGCGGTGAATTACTTGTAACTTCTCTGCATCATTATTTATTAGTAATTGAATTTGTTAGATTGTAATTGCTATCGCAAGTGTATACACGATGTGAGTGTTCGACAGCGAAGACCATATAATCTGACTTGTCTTGGTAAAGAGTAACGTGTCAGCAACCTCGGAGAGAGAGGGAGAAAAAATAATTTTAAATTTATTTTCGCGTGGTCGACAAACGGTCAAACTCAACTGTCAGGCATTTGACGATTAATATGGATTAGACATCGATTAATGTAGATTCGACGTAGATCAATGATGATTCGACATCGATTAATGCAGATTCGACTTCAGATACTGTAGATACGACATCGTTCGATGCAGGTTATTTGACTCAACAAATTATCGGGTGCAGAAACTTGAAAGATCTTCACCGAAACGGCAAATAATGCTCCTCTTTAATCGGTGCTGACATTGCCCTCCAGTTACTTGTCGACTCCAAATTAGATTTTGCCTGCGTCGATCGAGCAGGAATCTGCATCAATATTCTTGATCGAACCACATCAATCTCCGTCGATCTATCAAGACCGGATTGACTGGGTTAATTAATTAATTCGGCTGAGGCGCCCGTACTTTACGATAAGAATGAAATATTCGGTGAGAGTTAGAGCTGAAATTTCATGGTCAGATGGTTCTCTCCGGAGCAATATTCCCTACATATTATTTTTTCATTACATTTTATTTAGTCAATGTAGTTTCAGTTATTCTCAGACAAATAATTTAGGCGAGTTCTTGCATCAGATGAGTTTAGAATGAAATTATACTCAGCTCAATAGTGGCAGCTTTGATATTTTTCAAATGCGTGGGTTATTTAAATTTATTATTATTACTATCTATATAATTTTGTATATACTTTGTAAGGGCACGCGATCCGCTCTACTTAAAGTCACTTGTTCTGCATTCCAAAGCTAAACTCGACGCTAGGGCCGATTGTAGACTTAGATCTTGTCCACTTGACAGGTGAGCTTGTTAGCAAACAGCTAATTCTGGTTCTATAATTTTGTACTATATTTTTTGTGATGAATTATCCATTTTGAAATAGACCTTGAAATGCCCACGAAAGCAATACCTACATGACTGTTCAATCTCGACAGGTCGGACCTGAACGGCCGAACCTACCGTCCCGCAAGCTCAAATCTCGTTGCCTTATTATACTTTAGATTTTCCGGGTTACATTCCATTACTTTACGTAACTCAGCTTTACTTTACTGCACTTAATGTAACTGTTCTTTGCTACCGTAACTTTTCCGTCACTTTGTCGTAGTTTTGCGTCGCGTAGCGCCTGAAGTTGACTCCCCTTTATTTAGCATTCTTTGATCTATTGTTAATAAATGTTTCTGTGTACTCCTGAAGTTGTATTGCATCCACCCCATACGTTAAACGAACCGTATCTCTTGACATACTTTAACAAGCCATTGTTGACCGCATAGAATTATGGGATGACGCAAATTATGGCCACCAACTCGTGACCGCGGACAAGGGTGGCCCAGTGGTTACAGTTCAGAGTACAAGGATTGGAGCAGAGAGGTGCGGGTTCGAGCCCAGCTTTGTGCTCCAGTTTCTGGTCAGAATCGGCGAGGAGGCCGGGTGGTTAAGCAAAGAAAATTTGAAGCAGTGAGTTGCGAGTTCAAGCCCGCAACAGCTGTGGATATTCTGCAATGTTAAGAATTGGCAACAGGCCTACGGCCTAATAAACGCTGAATCCGCTAAATAGAATGCAGCCCGTTTACGCTTAACTTCAGTATAGGAGTTATTAATTTACTTATTGTCATCGCAGCTTCTGTTTCTGAATGAGGAAGGTTAAATAGCTCGTACCTTTGACTCTGCAATACTAACCACTTCAATATTTATTACCGATGCATGTATAAATAATCTGGGTTTTTCGTACAACCAAAATTTGAGTACAGAGCACCGTAACTGTAGTGTAACCAAACAATTAATTTGATTAGAATCATTAAATGAATCGTTTCAAGTATTTTCGATACAGTACATAAAATCCACCTACAGTGGTCCAATTAAATATAATTGAAATTCATCAAGACAACAGTGAGATATTAATTGATTATAAGAATACATATTATTAGTTATCATGGGTGTTTTTAAGGTAATAGACATTTATTTTCAGCTATTATCACTTGCCAAATACTGAATTTACAGCAACATTGAGTTTTTATAACTAAAGAAATGAGTTTTAAAAAAGTTTGTTCATAGATTCAATCATCAAAAGAATATTAAGTTATATTCTAAAACCAAAGTTTCCAAAATAAAATGAACAGAGAGCATTCTTCACTTAAAATTTAACTTCGTATAGTTAGAGGCGACAAAATTGATGATGATAATGTACGCATGTGTGACAATCCATCATTAATAACAGCCTCTGATGTTGTTATTAATGATGTCCCAACCCAATGATTAGTAACACCTGTCCCAACAAATGCAAAGCCTATAACATAGCCACCACATGCTCGCAATGCATCAGGACCAAGCAGTATTTGCCTTCCCACGGACAACCTGCCATCGCACCGCTGCTCCGACCTGCCATCGCACCGCTGCTCCGACCTTCCACAGCCAAAAGATGACGCGAGCTCTGATGCTTCTCATCGTAGTCGCCGCTGCCTCGTCCGCGGCGTAAGTACTTCGCTTACAAACCAAACCGACGATGTGATGTTGACAAGATCTGTGAACATGAATATTTCCATATGGCTAGTGATTTTTATTGTGTTCTGTTTGATTGAAATTAACGATTTCAATGGAGGATGACCCATGACTTATAATTATAGTTATAGACTACAATTTTTCTAATTCAATATAACACAATTTAATCATTCGAGAACAATATTTAATCCACTTTCCTTCATTACTTCGCAACTCCTGAATGTCTGAACCTTGATGAAGGCAACGTTAGCAGTGAATTCGGTATTTTCTGATTGCCTAACGAGAAAATTCGGATGTATACAGCTACATATATTCAGGGCGTTGTTTCGAACTATCGTATCGTCCTGGATTTCATGAAAAAATTAAACGTTTGATATATTTTAAAGAAGAAGGCACTTGCTAATTTTTTACACATGAATTACTATATATGTAATTTTTTTACAGCGTTGAACTATCCCCTTGCAAACTGGCACTCAAGCCGGCACATGAAAATTTCGCCAATGTCGAAAGTTGTAAGCTGCAGTACAAAACGGAGCTGGACAAGTTTATTTCAAGTGAGTGCACAAAATAATAATTTTTGTGAATAAAGAATAATTTTGAATCATTTTGTTCCTGTTGGCTGTTAACATAATTCTAAACCAAAATTGGTCGACTGCGGGTCTAAAGCTCTAACTAAACTCAACAACTAACAGGGTTAAAACTACAATTAACATCGTTGATGCTCCCAGTATGAACGCGTTCATGAACAGACTAGATAAAGCTATGGAAAAATATATGTCCAGACTTGAAATGTCTAGCACCATATCGAACCCGGTGGAAGTCTAGTAGCTACTTCAAACTATCGTCAGTCATGAAAAGATCCGGTCAAAGGACCTGTTTTTAGATCTCGTCTGGACAAGCCACGAAAAGTACAAGAATCGGCGACAGGCCACATCAGGCCTACTCTTCAGCGCCGACATCACTATGATATGTTACATAAATGTAGGAGAACAAACCACCTTGTTCGCGTGGGAGTTTGTTGACAACTTATCAAAATTTGCGTCTTAATGATTGATCATGTTTTTATTAACGCATGCTGTAAAGAAATAATATTCCCGTTAAGCATATTTTCTTGATATTTTAAGCATCTTGAGCGAGCCTATATGATTAAAAATTGTTTCATAAATTCATCGACAGACGAGCATTCAAACTTGGCCACTTCTCCATGGGCAATTGTTGCAAATTGAATTCAATAAATTAAAATATTGAAATCTAAGTTTTCTAAACGATCAGACATATATTAACTCTATATAAACTTTTTCAAGATGCTTTGCTGGAGACGTTTTACCCCTTAATTGAAAACTTCAAATGATGAATCGACTAGTATCGATTTTTTATTATCTTTTATTTCATATTTTTTTAAATTTTGAACTTTTGATGATTTGTGTATGTCAGTTTTGCCTTTAAAGATCTTAGCTGAGATCCAGCCTGTGATATTTCCATCATTGTGTATATTTATATGATATGAATATCAACTATTTATATGCTATGAATACCAATCTCCTACTATTTTTCTCTCCAATAGATACAAAATGCACCCACCTTCCGTACGATGTAGCAACATGTGATCCGCTTCTATACAATTACTCCAAGTGCGCGTTGAAATTTATCGGAGTCGTAAGTATTGCAGTATATTGGCACACTGAGTGCAGCATATAGCGCAGTTACTTGGGCACTGAGTGCAGTAACTTGAGCACTGAGTGCAGTACATAGCGCAGTTACTCGGGCATATGAAAAGACATCAACATTTCGCACATCCGCTCGTCTGGACCCAATATACATTTCTGCTGCAAGTTTTATTCAGCGATTCTTCCGCTTAATTGAAAGATGTAGCGTTTCTTAAGCCTTGTCAGTGAACTGAAATGAGATGTTAAACACGCAATTTATTATATAAAACAAAAATATTGACACAACAAATCTTCTTGTTTGCATGACGAATAATAATTTTTCAAATTGTCCAGATTAGGAAGTGCGGAAGTCCAAAACTCCCAATTTTCATAGCGTGAAATATTATTCCTTGTTCTTTTCTGAAAATAATTTTATTCAATTAGTTATTCCCAAGCCCTTATTTCCTCGCCAGCTGAAGCCTGACAACACAGTGGACGATGTGGCCTTCCAGAAGATTTTGTTGCAGAACAAATGCAGCAAAGACACCAACTTCGCAAAGGCTTACCCGACATGCAAGAGCTCAACCATGAAGTATTTGAACGTGAGTCATGAAAAATATTTGTGTTTATTCTCCTAGCCAACTCATGCAATATGTTTTTGTTATATTCGATGAACACAATGTTAAAAATATTCAAAATATATATAATATAGAAATAATTCATGCAGCGAAATAGATCATGGTTCAGGAAGATGTATTCAGCTTAAAAAGTACATGACTCATGACGTATATTCTATTTGGCAGGTGGTGCAATTCATCGAGTGTCTCGATAAAGCCGTGCCCTAAGCAGTTCACTCATTGGAGGAAAACCTGCTGACGCGGAACAAGACTGACTGAACTCGCTTTCACTCTTACGGGATTTTTGGGATTTTTTTAGTGCACGGGACTTTCTTATTTCACTATTAAATTTGGTGGTGTTTCTTCAATAATAGATTTATTATCCTGATAACGAGAAGTTATGAGAAGATCATCAATGAAAAATATTTTCCAGACAGTTCATATAGATATTTACACTAGGCTATTCAGACAGCTTATAGAGATTGGTGCGGAGACGAAATTTGAACTACATCTTCACCAGAAGTCCGGATGCGAGTAGTACTAGCGCCCCAATGCGAACGCTCAGCGGTTATCATCGACGCAGAACCTGACCTCTCTTAATGTCAGCCCAAAGGGTTGTGTCTCCCCAGGGCTCTTTTATATCACATGCACTCCTAAACCATTTCATCGCTTACTGTTCAGTTCCGGTATCTAAAGTTGCATCATATTGACGAACTCATCATCTTAGGTAAGGGAGGAAGGCACCATGCCTGCCAGTTCTTATAGAAGTAGGTGAAGCTAATTCACGGCCGGGAGATGTCCAACCACATCGCCGAAACTGCTTAGATCAACAAGGTCATGGCTGCATCGTTCCTTAACGCTCAGTAGTGACTTAGCTCCGTTGTGGCTAAGGCAGTTCTCTGTCATCTTAGACCTTTAGGGTTGTATGAACTCATAGCGCCGTCTGCATTGAGTGCGGGGACCTCCTCCACGCCACGCAGAACTTCTTTGCTTTCCCTTCCCATCCCACTACCCTCAGCATCTCCTCTCTGGGATAGTCCCGTGTAGACGTAACTTTCTGGGCTCTCTGCCTTCGCTCATCTCCCTCCTTTTCCCATGGACTTCCGCAAGCAAAGAAACATTGACGCAAGAAACAGAGACAACATTAATCAGCTTCCGGCTCATTACCTAAGTTTTTCTGACGCAACCTGTCCTTAGAAGCACCAAAAATCGAAACATTATCCAATTTGTTGAGAAATTTAATGCATTATGAAATTTATAAACAATTTATTTCTCCTATCATCGGGATTGATTTGAACAAACAAATCTAAATACGACCAAAATTCAGGGAGGTTTTTGTTGGTGGCTTAATTTTTTGAATTAAATTGAGACTGAGACTGTAACTTAGCGAAAACAAAAAAAAAAGACTGTACAAGAAATTACTTATTTACGAGTGAGCTAGAAATTTATTCACTTTACAGGGTCATCAATTTTTAGCGTTACATTGTTTTCTTCAAATCAATACACTCGCAAAACAGTCAAATGTGTCGTATGGAACCATGTCGACTGTTCTCCGGAAGGACCTAAAGTTGTCCCCATTCTGGCATGTCANAAATTGAAATTAAGGCATGCCTAAATGAAGATGCGCCCCACGTTTTTCGTTTTAGATGTTGTAAAATATTTTAACTGAAATACAAAAGACCAAGAGAATGAAAGCAAACAGAGATCAGCAGCTGCCGAAAAATTATTTTCTCCTGTTGAGTCCACATGAAAAACGTGGTCTTTAAAATTTTTTTTTATACATTATATTTCAGCTGAGCCTTCACTTCAGTCAGCTCATTGCAAAGCGAGCTCAATTTTTCACTCAGCGAGCACACCATCTCACTCAAGAAGTTTACTACATCTTTAAACGATTTCGTCTTCCGAAGCGTCATAAAATAAAGGCCTCTCTGCATGGACGGAAATGCGGAATCAAAATAAGCAGCCAATGAGAGTGAAATTGAAACCTCGGACACGCATTCTTGTATCGTGGAGTCAAATTCTTGTAATCATGTGTACGTGACTTGTATTTTTCTTGATTAGGCTTCCTGAATTTTTTCATAAGGCAACTCATGCCTTCACTGTAAAGGAGGAGAATAGACCGGACGATCACTATAAAATATCAAAATATGCGATCATTACTGAATTACCAATAATTATTTAGTTTGGTTCTAGTTTTTAGTTTAATAATTATTACTCTTATTATTAAACATTGATTATATTTATCATATTCCTCAAGTTCTTTGTCCAATCTTCTTCACCTTGCAAACACCCACCATCTTTGACTATTTTTTTTCAACGAGCGTCATTACGAAGCAAAGCAAATCTCCCTAACGATCACTAATCATATGATTTTATAAAGCCTCGACATCATTAACATCATTCATCAAACCTCAAGATTTATGTCTGCTGTCATTTGTCAGCTCGCTGCACTTGTACCAACACGCCTGAGGCTCGTAAAATGAAGACCTCTCTGCATGGACGGAGCTGAACACGTCAAACCTTTTGCTTTACTTTTACCAGCAATTCTACAATGAAAAAAATTTATTATTTGTAGTAGTAAATTTAATAAATGGATACAATTTAAATAACAAATCTTACATTAATTGAACGTCGTTTTTTTAGCTTTAAATTCAGCAAATGGATACAATTTAGTAGAAAATAAAAACTGTGACATTATTTGTAAGTCGTTTTTTTTGTCGTAAATTTAGTAAATGGATACAATTTGATGAAAATTAAAAAGCCTGACGTTAATTGTAGGTCGTATTTTCGATCGCCACAGATGCTTACCAGTCAATCGCCAATATGGGCAACGATGTCGATTAGTGTGGGTTACTGCAAAACGCGGAAGATCCGACCACTCGAAGATTTGGAAGTCGAATTTCCCTAAACAATTTATGCAGATGCATGGCGAACTATCGACTGTGGGTTTATCGTTGCATCGCGAAGTATCTGAGTGTGGGCAACTTTTTAGAGCAAAAACCGAAAAATTCATGCGCAAACATGTCGGTTGGCTCTTCNCATATGATTTTATAAAGCCCCGACATCATTAACATCATTCATCAAACCTCAAGATTGATCGTCTGCTGTCATTTGTCAGCTCGCTGCACTTGTACCAACACGCCTGAGGCTCGTAAAATGAAGGTCGCTCTGCATGGACGGAGCTTTGCTTCTGCTTACTTTTAAAAGCAATTCTACAATGGAAAATATTTCAACAGTGTGTAGTAGTAAATTTAGTATATGGATAGAATAGAATAGAATAGGAGTGTCGGCGTTGAAGAAATAGGCCCATGGCCTGTTGCCGATTCTTGTACTTTTCGTGACTTGATTCACAAGGGATCCGGCCTTTTGGACCCGATCATAACTTAGTAGGAAATGAAACCCTGACAATTATTGTACGTCGTTTTTTAATCGTATATTCATTAAATGGATGCAATTTAATAGAAAATAAAATGGCTTACATTAATTGTACGTCGTATTTAATTGTTTCGTCGTATTTCGTATTAAAAGTTGGAGCGTCTGCGTGTCTGTCAAACTTTCCTCCACATTATTAAAACGTTAAAAAATTTGTGTCAAAAACTGGATATCGTTTGCTCATGAGTCACCTGTTCATTGTTTACATTTAATTAAGGTACTATAATGCAAATAGTTACATGATAGTTAAATGTACTAACGCTAATTAGTACATTAGTCCAGGCTTAAAGCGCCTGAGGCACCCGTACTTTACGATAAGAATGAAATATTCGGCGAGAGTTGGAGCTGAAATTTCGTGGTCAAGTGGTTCTCTTCGAGACACTATTTCCTACATATTATTGTCTCATTACATTTAATTTTGTTAATGTTATAAAAGTTATTGTCAGACAAATGATTATTATTAGTATTTATATGCTTTTTTCATGTACTTTAACCAGCCATTATTGCCCGACACGCGACCCATTGTGGGTCGAGGCCGCGAATAATGCCATCAGCTAGTGAGCGTGGACAAATTTTCTAAAAGAATGCAGCTCGTTTAACGCTTAACTTCAGTATAGGAGTTATTAATATACCTCATCTCAGCTTCTGTTTCTGAATGAGGAAGGTTAAATAACTTGTACCTTTGAGTCTGCAATACTAACCACTTCAATATTTATTACCGATGTATTAATAAATAATCTGTGGCTTTTCTTGCAACCAAAAGTTGAGTACATGCAGAGCACCGTAACTGTAGTGTAACGAAACAATTAATTTGATTCGAATAATTAAATGAATCATTTCAATTATTTTAGACGTAGTACGTACATACCAATCGCCCATATAGTGGTCCAATTAAATATTATTGAAATTCGTCAAGACAAAAGTGAGATATTAATTGATGACAAGAATATAATAATTGATTGTCATGGGTCTTCTTTGGGATAAAAGACATTTATTTTTAGCTATTATCATTTGCCAAATACTGAATTTACAGCAAAATTGAGTTTTAATAACTAAAGAAATGAGGTTTAAAACAAAGTTTGTTCGTAGAAAATCAATCATCAAAAGAATATTAAGTTATACTCTAAAACTAAAGTTTTCATAATAAAATGAACAGACAGCATTCTGGCCTTGAAAATTTAACTTTGTATAATTAGAGGCAACAAAATTGATGATGGATTATGCACGCAGGTGTAACAGTCCATCATTAATAACATCGACTGAGTGCATTTCTTAACACCTGTCCCAACAAATGCAAAGCCTATAACATGGCCACCACATGCCCACAATGCATCAGGAACAAGACGCATTGGCCTGCCTACGCACGACCTGCCATCGCACCGCTGCTCCGACCTGCCATCGCACCGCTGCCACGACCTGCCATCGCACCGCTGCTCCGACCTGCCATCGCAACGACCACAGCAAAAGATGACGCGAGCTCTGATGCTTCTCATCGTAGTCGCCGCTGCCTCGTCCGCGGCGTAAGTACTTCGCTTACAAACCAAACCGACGATGTGATATTGGCAAGATCCGTGAACATGAATATTTTTATATGGCTAGTGATTTTTATTGTGTTCTGTTTGATTGAAATTAACGATTTGAATGGAGGATGACCAATGTCTTATGTAGTAATTGATTACGATTTTTCTACTCCAGTATAACGCAAACTAATCGTCTAAGAATATTTAATATACCTTCCTTTATTACTTCGTAGCTCTTGAATGTATGAACCATGATGAAGGCAACGTTAACAGTGAATTTGTTATTTGCTAAACGAGAAAATTGTCCTAACGAGAAAATTAGGGTGTGTAGAGCTGCATTCATGGCGTTCTTTTGAAGTATCATATCATCTTGTTTTTTATTATATTTTAAAACGTTGAACCCATTTCGAAGGAGAAGGCTTTTGTTGAATTTTTACACATACACGATTATTTTTGTAATTTTTTTACAGAGCTAAATCAGCTTGCAATATGGCGCTCTGGTCGGCAGGTGAAAATATCTCTGGTGTCATAAGTTGCTGTTTCTGCAGTACGAAACGGAGGTGAACAAGTTTTTTTCAAGTGAGTACACAAATAGAGTAATTTTGAATCAGTTATTCCTGCTGGCTGTTAATCTAATTCTAAGCCCAAATAGATCGACTGAGGGTCTAAACTCAGCAACTAACATATTTCTCTAAAATGCAGGACAAGAAAACCCGTTTAGTTCACTACACTATATCATAAGAATGTGCAGTTTCTCCAATTTTATCAAATACATTAACCGCCTGCTATGCGTGCGCGGGAGTTCGTTGCGTCTTTTCATCAAAATTTAAGTGCAGCACGTGTTGTGTACAAATCGGCAAAAAACACGCTGGAACTTCTGACTTCGACTGCGGACTATCGCCCCCCTACCGCCCTCTTCTTCCTTACCGCCCCCCAAAATCTTTCCACCGCCCATAGGGGGGCGATATCGCCCACTTTGGGAACCACTGCTGTAGAGCGACCAAAAGACCGTTATAATTTTACGAGTATAGTATCAGTTCAGCCGTTTCTAAAATAGATTTAGTATTTATAACTTTTTAAATTCAACTCGAAAGTTCTCCAAAATCCTAGAAATTTATTCATTTTAAAGCGGAAAATGGATACAATTTAGTAGAAAATAAAAACCGTGACATTAATTGTTCGTCGTTTTTTTGTCGTAAATTTAGTAAATGGATACAATTTGATGAATGGATAAAATTTGATGATTTGATGATAAAAAGCCTGACGTTAATTGTAGGTCGTATTTTCGGTCGCCACAAACGCTTACCAGTCAATCGTCAATGTGGGCAACGATGTCGATTAGTATGGGTTACTGCATAACGCGGAAGATCCGACCACTCAAAGATTTGGAAGTCAAATTTCCCTAAACAATCTATGCAGATGCATGGCGAACTATCGACTGTGGGTTTATCGTTGCATCGGGAAGTATCTGAGTATGGGCAAATTTATAGAGCAAACCGAAAAATTCGTGAGCAAACATGTCGGTTGGCTATTCAATCTAATAGAATAATGAACCGGCAATTGATATGCACTATAATTTATGATTACCCACTTAAAATTGTGTTCAATATTGTGTTTAATCTAGTTCAATAGATAGAATGCGCTTTTTCGGGTCCTATTCTGATGTCAGTTACGATTATTATACCACGTAATTATTTTAATACTTTGAAATACGTGTTTTACTAGCTTACCCAGCTTGACCGCTTCCGCAAAGAGGAACGTTTAAGCCTTTATGTTACCTTACCTTAATAATGTTCAGGATATATTGATAAGTTTACCTGCAAATTTTTTTTCTAACGTGAGTGTAAAGAAAACGTTTTTTACATGCGTTTTATTAAATGATATAAATCTCCGAATATTTTTATAGACTAAAATGAAGAAACTGCTTCAAAGCTTAGCAATATCTTTATTTAAAAAGATCCCATCATAAACTTCTTCATAGTTCATATTCAAAACATTTTCATGCAGCTGCTTTAGCGTGTTCCATTAATAATAATAATAATAATAATAATAGCGGTTTCAGCGTTAATTAGGCCGTATAGGCCTGTCGCCGATTCTTAACATCGCAGAACATTCACAGCATTTTGCGGTCTCGAACTCGCAACTCACTTCTACAATTCTGCTGTGCTTAACCGCCCGGCCTCCTCGCCGATTGTGACCAGAAACTGGCGCACAGAGCTGGGATCGAACCCGCGCCTCTCTGCGCCAATCTTGGTACTCTGAACTGTAACCACTAGGCCACCCTGCCTATTCATGATAAATTAATGATAAATAGGCCACCCTGCCCTGCTTATTCATGACAAATTTGCCTAAAATTTTTAACGAGGCTGATTTGAGGCAATAAAAACAATGAGAAATAAATTTCGATGTAAATCGATCAGCTCCATTATAAAATTTATGTAAACTAGAGAACTAACTTTTAAATACGTAAATTGAGGAAATATGGAAGTAACGGCATTTCGCTTGCCTGAATATCATAAAAAGTGGCAAGAAAAACAGTGCTTGTCTCCTTTAAAATACGAGAAATATTCTTTTTTCAATTGAAAAGAAACTGCGTTCATTCCTATAAAATAAATATGAATAAATACCATTTAAACAGTTCCACCACATATGTGGCTATTCCTCGATTTACCTGACGATTGCAAGCCATTCGTTTTGCAGTTACAGTATGTAGTTCTCAGTATGGTAAGGTGTCTTACTGGGCCAGCTGGCTGAGGCGTGAACTCGGACGCGAAATTCCCGCGTTCGAATCTCGGAGCTGCCGTCGACGTCTATCCGGTAAGAGCACCTAGCGGTGAATTGCTTGTAACTTCCCTGCGTCATTAGTAATTAAATTTGTTAGATTGTAATTGATATCGCAAGTGTATATACGATGTGAATGTTCGACAGCAAAAAATATCTAATCTGACTTGTCATAGTAAAGAGTAACGTATCAGCGACCTCGGAGAGAGAGAGAGAGAGAGTAAATAATTGTAAATTTGTTTTCGCGTAATCGACAAACGGTCAAACTCAACTGCCGGGCATTTGACAATTAATATGGATTAGACATCGATTAATCTAGATTCGACGTAGATCAATGATGATTCTACATCGATCAATGCAGATTCGACTTCAGCTACTGTAGATACGACATCGTTCGATGCAGATTATTCGACTCAACAAATTATCGGGTGTAAAAACTTCAAAGATCTTCACAGAATCGGTAGATAATGCCCCTCTTTAATCGGTGGTGCGCCCCGTGACATTGCCCTCCTACTTGTCGACTCCAAATTGGGTTTTGCCTTCGTCGATCGAGCAGGAATCTGCATCAATATTCTTGATCGAACCACATCAATCTCCGTCGATCTATCAAGACCTGATTGACTGGATATTAAATTAATTCGGCTGAGGCGCCCGTACTTTACGGGAAGAATGAAATATTTGGTGAGAGTTAGAGCTGGAATTTCATGGTCAGATGGTTCTCTCCGGAACAATATTTCCTAGATATTAGTTTTTCATTACATTTAATTTAGTCAATGTTGTTTCAGTTATTCTCAGACAAATAATTTAGGCGAGTTCTTGCATCAGATAAGTTTAGAATGTAATTATACTCAGCTCGATAGTGGCAGCTTTGATATTTTTCAAATGCGTGGGTTATTAACATTTATTATCATTACTATCTATATAATTTTTGATGTACTTTAACCCGCCATTGTTGACCGCATAGAATTATGGGATGACACAAATTATGGCCACTAACTCGTGACCGTGGACAAGGGTGGCCCAGTGGTTACAGTTCAGAGTACCACGATTGAAGCAGAGAGGCGCGGGTTCGATCCCAGCTCTGTGCGCCAGTTTCTGGTCAGAATCAGCGAGGAGGCCGGGTGGTTAAGCACAGCAGAATTGTAGCAGTGCGTTGCGAGTTCGAAACCGCAACAAGTTGTGGATGTTTTGCAATGTTAAGAATCGGCGACAGGCCTGCGGACTAATAAACGCTGAATCCGCTAAATATAATGCAGCTCGTTTCACGTTCAACTTAAGTAAAGGAGTTATTAAATTACTTATTGTCATCGCAGCAACTGTTTCTGAATGAGGAAGGTTAAATCGCTTGTACCATTGAGTCTGCAATACTAACCATTACAATAATTATTACCGATGCATTTATAAATAACCTGGGACTTTTCGTACAAGCAAAAGTTGAGTCCAGAGCACCGTAAATGTAGAGTAACCAAACAATTACCTTTAGGTAATAAAAATTCATTTAATAATCATCAAATTGATCCATTTCAATTATTTTCGACACAGTTCATACCATTTGCCTATAATAAAATTAATTATAGGCGAATAGGTCTAATTAAACAATGAATGAAATTCATCTCGACAAAAGTGAGATATTAATTGATTATGAGAATAGATATAATTAATTAGCATGGGTCTTTTCATGGTAATAGACATTTATTTTTAGCTATTATCGTTTGCCAAATAGTGAATTTAGAGCAACATTGAGTTTTTATAAGTCAGGAAATGAGTTATAAAAAAGTTTGTTTATAAAGACTCAATCATCAAAAGAATATTAAGTTATATTCTAAAACCAAAGTTTCCAAAATAAAATGAACAGAGAGCATTCTGAATTTAAAATTTAAGTTTGTATATTTAGAGGCGACAAAATTGATGATAATGTGCAAAAAGATGACGCGAGCTCTGATGCTTCTCATCGTAGTCGCCGCTGCCTCGTCCGATGCGTAAGTACTTCGCTTGCAAACCAAATCAACGATGTGATATTGACAAGATCTGGGATTATGATTATAATTTTCATACATGTCGTGATTTTTATTGTTTTCTATTTGATTGAAATTAACGATTTGAAAGCAGAATGACCCATGTCATGGAGTAGCAGATTACGATTTTTTTGCTCCAATATAACGCAAACTAATCATTCGAGAATATTTAATCCACTTTCCTTTATTACTTCGTAACTCCTAAATGTATGAACCATGATGAAGGCAACTTCAACAGTGAATTTGTTATTTGCTAAACGAGAAAATTGTTCTAACGAATGAATTAGGGTGTGTAGAGCTGCATTCAGGACGTTCTTTTGAAGTATAATATCATCTTGTTTTTTCGTTTTAATTTTCAAACGTTGAACCCATTTCAAAGGAGAAGGCTATTGTTAATTTTTTTACACAAAAATGACTTTTTTTTACAGAGCTCCATCAGCTTGCAATATGGCGCTCAGGTCGGCATATAATAATCTCGGTGATGTAGAAACTTGCGCTCTGCAGTACCAAACGGAGATGGACAAGTATCTTTCAAGTGAGTACACAAATAGAGTAATTTTGAATCAGTTTATTCCTGCTGGCTGTTAACATAATTCTAAACCCAAATAGGTCGATTGAGGGTCTAAACTCAGCAGCTGACATTTGTATCTATAATGCAGGAGAAGCAAACCACCTCGTATGCGTGCGCTGGAGTTCGTTACAAAACATAACATAATGATCTCGGCGCTGAAGTGTAGGCCTGATGCGGCCTGTCGCCGATTCTTTTCCTTTTCGTGCCTTGTTCATAGATCTAAAACTCGTGTCATTTGACCGGATCTTTTCATGACTGACGATAGTTTCAAGTAGCTACTAGACTTCCACCGGGTTCGATATGGTGCTAGGCATTTCAAGTTCCATAGCTTTATCTAGTCTGTTCTTGAACGCGTTCATACTCGGAGCGCCAGCGATGTAATCGTGGAGGCTGTTCCACATGTCGGTGATTCTTATTACGTCGGTGATTACGTTTTATCATCAAAATTTACATCTTAATGATTAATCTATTTTTTGCTAACGCATGCTAAAAACCTAATTTCCCCCTAGGCATATTTTCTTGATATTTTAGGCATCTTGAGCGAGCCTAGATGATGAAAAATTATTTCAAAAATTCATCGACAAATGAGCATTTAAAACTGTTTCCTTCTCCATGGGCATTTGCTGCAAATTGAAATTAACAAGTTCAATTTTCTCGACTTGAAATCTTAGTTTCCTAAACAATCAGCCACACAATTTCACTCCATAAATTTCACAATTTCTACAATTTTGTTATTTATTTAATTTTAATTTTTTTGACGCTTTGTGTTTGTCACATTTGCCTTGAAAGACCTTAGCTTGCTGTAGATTGGTTAGCTTAGCTTTCATCATTGGTTAGATTTATATGCCATGAATATCAATCTCTAACTATTTTTCTCCCCAACAGTTGACAACTGTAACGTATATCCGTACGATGTAGCAACATGTGATCCACTGGTATACAATTACTTCAAGTGCGCGTGGAAATCAAATGGAGCCGTGAGTATTGCAGTATATTGGCACAATGAGTGCAGTACATAGTGCAGTTACTTGAGCACTGAGTGCAGTACATAGTGCAGTTACTTGGGCACTGAGTGCAGTACAGAGTGCAGTTACTTGAGCACTGAGTGCAGTACAAAGTGCAGTTACTTGAGCACTGAGTGCAGTACATAGAGCAGTTTCTCGGGCATATACAAAGACATCAACATTTCGCATATCCGCTCGTCTGGACCCAATATACATTTTTGCTGCAAGTTTTATTCCGCAATTCTTCCGCGAATTGTTTTATTCCGCGAATTGAAAGATGAAGCGTTTCTTAAGCCTTGTCAGTGAACTGAAATGAGGTATTAAACACGTAACTTATTATGTAGAACAAAAATATTTGACAGAACATATTTTCTTGTTTGCATGACGAATAATAATGTTTCAAATTGTCCAGATCTAGGGAGTGAGGAAGTCCTTAAGTCCAAATCTCCCAATTTTCATAGCTTGAAATATTATACCTTAATAGTTTTTTTTATTAAAATATTTTTATTCAGCTAGTTATTCCCAAGCCCTTATTTCCTCGCCAGCTGAAGCCTGACAACACAGTGGACGATGTGGCCTTCCAGAAGATTTTGTTGCAGAACAAATGCAGCAAAGACACCAACTTCGCAAAGGCTTACCCGACATGCAAGAGCTCAACCATGAAGTATTTGAACGTGAGTCATGAAAAAAATGTGTCTTTATTCTCCAAGCAAACTCATGCAACATATTTTTGTTATATTCGATGAACACAATGTTAAAAATATTCAAAATATATATAATATAGAAATCATTCATGCAGCGTAATAGATCATGGTACACGAAAATGTATTCAGCTTAAAAAGTACATGACTCATGACGTATATTCTATTTGGCAGGCGTTGCAATTCATCGCGTGTCTCGATAAAGCCGTGCCCTAAGCAGCTCACTCAGTGGAGGAAAACCTACTGACACGGAACAAGACTGACTGAACTCGCCTTCACTCTTTCGGGATTTTTTTATATTTTTTGGTGCACGGGACTTTCTTATTTTTTCATTAAATTTGGTGGTGTTTCTTCAATAATAGATTTATTATCCTGATATTGAGAAATTTTGCGAATATTTGAGTTACATCTGATTTTAAAGTAGACCAAAGAAAGATTTCTTCTGATGAGGGCAAGGCTAACGTTCTTAATCAGTTCTTCAGCAGTGTGTTCACAGATGAGGAATTGAACAGTATTCCAGATATTGAGGAGCGCCCAGTCGGCTCAAAGTTAACAGGTTTTGAACTTCACAAAGAAGAGGTTCTCAAGCGCCTGGTAGCTCTAAATCCCAACAAGTCATGTGGACCAGACGGCTTCCATCCCAGATTGCTCAAAGAATTAGTAACCGTTCTGGCTGGCCCATTGACAGTATTCTTTCAAAAAACCTTGAACGAAAGAACTTTGCCGTCCGACTGGAAAGAAGCTCAAGTAACACCATTGTTCAAAAAAGGTGACAAAAGCAGCCCCGGCAACTATCGCCCTGTCAGTCTGACAAGTGTTTTCAAGCTAATGGAATCTGTTGTGAGGGATAGGATTATCGATCACTTGGCTGCTCACTTTCTCTTATCAGATTGTCAACATAGTTTTGTTGCCGATAGATCCTGCACCACTAATTATTATCTACGTAGAACGATTGGACTCGCCTGCTGGACGAAGGGAAGCCAGTGGATGCATTGTACCTCGATTTTGCCAAAGCATTTGACAATGTTCCGCATGAGCGGCTGTTGCGTAAAGTGAAGTCTTTGAGAATTGAGGGAAACGTACTGCAATGGATCAGAGATTTTCTAGTAGGTAGACGACAACGTGTCAGTATTAACGGAACCGTGTCAGACTGGGCATCAGTGTGCAGCGGCGTGCCACGAGGAAGCGTTTTTGGGCCTATTTTGTTCGTTGCTTTTATAAATGATCTGCCAGAAGCAGTGTCTAGCGTGTGCTCCATGTATGCCGACGACACAAAAGTTTATAATTCAATGAAGGATGCGTCAAATAAAACGCAATTGCAAGATGATCTAGACAGTTTAGTTAACTGATACGTGGCAGCTGCGGTTTAATGCTGACAAGTGTAAAGTACTTCACCTCGTGAATAACAATGAACAGCAAGATTACAGTATGAGAAGAAACGGTTGCATGATTGAAAAGTCTAGAGTGGAAAAAGATCTCGCAGTTTATGTCGACAAGGAGCTGACATTTTCTAAGCATGTTGAAACGCAAGCTAACACATCCAACAAACTTTTTGGACTAATAAGACGCTCAGACGAGTTCCTAGATGTAGAAGTAATGAAGCAGTTGTTTGTTGCTGTCGTGCGCCCGAATCTAGAGTTTGGAAACGTTGTGTGGTCACTGAGATTTGAAAAGGACAAAAATTTAACAGAGAATGTTCAAAGACGTGCAACAAGAATATTCCAGGCTTGAAGGGCAAGTCCTATGAAGAATGATAAAAGATTATGAAGCTTCCAAGCCTCTGTTATCGACGTCTGCGTGGGGACCTCATTGAAGCATACAAGTATACTCATGGCTTATACAAGGTCCCCGAAGGATTACTAGAATTTGAAACAAGAACCAACACCAGGGGCCACGGCTGTAAACTAAAAAAACTGCGCGGCAAATTCTTCACGCGCCAACATTTCTTCTTGCTTCGAATCACCGACATGTGGAACAGCCACCCCGATGACATCGTTGGCGCTCCATGTATGAACGCGTTCAAGAACAGACTAGATAAAGCTATGGAAAAATATATGTTCACACTTGAAATGCCTAGCACCATATTGAACCCGGTGGAAGTCTACCCTGTCAAAATTTTCGTGCCGATTAAGGTCGTTTTAGAGGAACTATATTCGGCTTAGGGGTGAATCAGGAGCAAGTCGGCCACGTAGGGTGTTTTGCTTCTATTTACCAGCCTCTTTTGGAAGTCAATTGCCCGGTAGGCCAAATCTGCGCAATATGCTTAAAAAGAGCAGCTGGTCAAGCTTCGTCATGATGCCCCTGGTCAAACGCTGATGACGCTATCGCACGATNTGTATTGATTGAATTTTTTTATTTGCGATTATTGCCCTCATTTCTAACCACGCCATGTCATAAAAGTTACTAGCTGTAAACGTCTTTGCATGAAATTGAGCCTCTGGTAGACTGCTCTGATCTTAAAACTAAGCGAGTAGTGCAATATAGACTGCATATATATATATAACGTTCAGAGATTGAAATGCCCCCTCCCTTCTCCCCATAAGGGGGGGAAGGGAGGGGGCATTTTTTTAAGCATTTTTCATATTCGGCCGTGTCTGTCCCGAACGTATCAGGTACCAAATACGCGCGCCCCACGATCGCCCCAAGCTCGACGAGTAATTTCACAAGATTCCATTTCGGCGCTTATTTCGCTACGGCAACCGGAACCTAATGCGGACATAGAGCTTCTAATTTACCCGGCCATAAGAACTTTGGGCGTCCGTGTGCCAGCGGTTGACAGGTCTTCGAATTTCGATAGGGTAGTAGCTATTGTAAACTGTCGTCAGTCATGAAAAGATCCGGTCAAATGACACGATTTTAAATCGTTTGTGAACAAGGCACGAAAAGGAAAAGAATCGGCGACAGGCCACATCAGGCCTACACTTCAGCGCCGAGATCACTATGTTACGTTATGTTATGAAGATGTATTCAGCTTAAAAGTACATGACTCATGACGTATATTCTATTTGGCAGGCGTTGCAATTCATCGCGTGTCTCAGTAAAGCCGTGCCCAAAGCAGCTCACTCAGTGGAGGAAAACCAACTGACGCACAACAAGACTGACTGAACTCACGTTCACTCTTTCGTGATTTTTGGGAATTTTTTAGTGCACGGGACTTTCTTATTTCTTTACTAAATTTGGTGGTGTTTCTTCAACAATAAATTTATTATCCTGATAACGAGAAGTTACGCGAAGATCATCAATGAAAAATATTTCCCAGACAGTTCATATAGATATTTACACAAGGCTATTCAGACAGCTTATAGAGATTGGTGCGGAAACGAAATTTGAACTACATCTCCACCAGAGGTCCGGATGCGAGTAGTACTAGCGCCCCAATGCGCACGCTCAGCGGTTACCGTCGACGCAGAACCCGACCTCCATTAATGCCAGCCTTAAGGGAGGTATCTCACCAGAGCTCTTTTATATCACATTCACTCCTAAACCATTTCAACGCTTACTGTTCAGTTCCGGGATTTAAATTTGCATCATATTGACGAACTCATAATGTTAGGTAAGGGAGGAAGGCACCATGCCTGCCAATTCTTATAGGTTGGCGAAGCTGATTCACGGCCCGGAGATGTCCAACCACATCGCCGAAACTGCTGAGATCAACAAGGTCATGGCTGCCTCGTTCCTTAACGCTCAGTTGTGACTTAGCTCCGTTGTGGCTAAGGCCATCTCTGTGGCTAAGTATTCTGCCATCTTAGACCTTTAAGGTTGTATGAGCTCATAGCGCCGCCTGCATTGAGTGCGGGGACCTCCTCTATGCCACGCAGAACTTCTTTGTTTTTCCTTCCCATCCCACTACCCTCAGTATTTCCTCTCTGGGATAGTCCCGTGTAGGCGTAACTTTCTGGGTCTTCCTCTCTGCCTTCGTTCATCTCCCTCCTTTTCCCATGGACCTCCGCAAGCAAAGGAACATTGACGCAAGAAACAGAGACAACATTAGTCAGCTTCCGGCTCATAACCTATGTTTTTCTGACGCCAACTGTTTTCAGAAGCACCAAAATTCGAAACATTATCCAATTTGTTGAGAAATTTAATGCATTATAAAATGTATAAACAATTTATTCCTCCTATCAGCGGGATTGATTCGAACAAACAAATCTAAATTCGACCAAAATGCAGGGAGGTTTTTGTTGGTGGCTTAATTTTTTGAGTTACATTAAGACTGAGGCTGGAACTTAGCGAAAACAAAACAGTAGCTTGTAAAAGAAATTACTTATTTACGAGTCAGCTGGAAATTTATTCACTTTAAAGCGACCAAACGTCCGTTATAATTTCACTAGTATAGTATCAGTTCAGCCGTTTCTAAAATAGATTTAGTATTTATAACTTTTTAAATTCAACTTGAAAGTTCTCCAAAATCCTAGAAATTTATTCATTTTAAAGCGGAAAAAGTCAGTCATAACTTCACGAGTATTAGTTTAGCTGTTTCTTAAATAGAATTAGCATTGATAACTTTTTAAATTAAGAAAAAGATAAATATTTTCTCTTTTTTACGTGTTTCACTACCTTCCGAGACCGTGCACACGTCGAGTCAGCTGCACTCCATAGTGAAGTCAGGGGCCGTAAAATCAAAAATAGTAAGAGTTCGTAACTCCGTCAGCCAATCGCTGACGACTTTTCAAGCTAAACCAACCAATCACAGACGTGAAAAAGAACGCCATGTGTACCGAAGAAACTATGTGTACATAAGTTAATTTTGATAGCGCGGCTCCTGTTCCCCATTGCGCGATTATATGAATCATTTATAAAGTATAATTTGAAATATGTTCTCATATGAAATATAACAATAGTCACCATGTGGAACAGCCTACCTGATAGCATCGTTGACGCTCCGAGTATGAACATCTTCAAGAACAGACTAGACGAAGCTATGCAGGAGCATATGTTCAGTCTTAAAATGCCTAGCAAATTACGGACCAGGCAATAAGTCCAGCAGCTATCTCAATCAATCGTCAGTTATGGAAGGATTGGGTTCCAAAGGCCTGATCCCTTGTGAATCAAGTCACGAAAAATTCAAGAATCGGCAACAGGCCATGGGCCTATTTTTTCAGTGCCGACTCTTCTATTCTATAATAAGGATTCTCAGATCAAAAGGCCGCCGCTGAGATGTAGTGGGATCAGGGAATGACTAGAGGTTACTCTCGGAAAAACTAATGGGTTATAGAAAAAATAACGGGTTATATCGTCAATAATGTGACACACTTCTACCCGCAGCACGGCAGCGAGAGCGGACGTTCCCACAGATCCTACTTTTGCGGGGC